CCGTACCGTACCGTACCGTTACCGTACCGTTACCGTCCGTTACGTTACCGTTACGTTACGTTACGTTACGTCGTACGTACGTACGTACGTACGTACGTACGTACGTACGTACGTACGTACGTACGTACGTAGACGACGACGAGAGAGAGAGAGAGAGAGAGAGAGAGAGAGAGAGAGAGAGGATCTAAGAACCATGGAGAATGAGCAGGAAGGTGGGGGGGGGGGAAGTCATCTCCTTATATAGGCCTCAAGGACACTAGGATGTTCCAATCATATTAGGATTCAATATTATCTATAAGAATGTCTGAATAATTTGTGAGGTGAGAGAGAAGTAATCTGAGCCATCCATTCTTGAAATTTACCGTCATGATTTAGGTAGAATTCTAGGAACTTTAGCCCTTGAATCCTTGACCTATATACACTTTTAATCTATCTAGAAGCTTGACCAGTCAAATCTTATCTCTTGGAATCATATGGAATTCCTTTTTTCTAAAAAAAGCAATATCTAGGAATTCAAATAAAACAAAAACCTGGTAAAAAAATGATAGATTCCTAAAATATCTCACAAAAAAATTTCGCAAAGATATTTCAAGATTTTTTAACTACATTAGTATCTTTTCAAATAACAGTTTGACTCCCCACAAAGTTTCCCAAATTAATGGGAAATGTGGGGCGTGTGACCTTTATGGGCTGCCCGTCCCACACCATGTGGGCCCCACACATATAGGGCTGGGCCTTTAGCCCCCCCCTTCCCACATGGGTCCTTCCACAAAGAAACAATATTTCGAAAACAACCCCCTTTGCATAAAATTTCAAAAATAACCTTTTAAGGTTTTTGTTCAATTACAAAACAATTTAAGAATATGAATTATATCCAAAAATCATAGAAACTTGGTTACAATTGAAACCAACATTCTTGGAGTTCTTAAAAAATTTAGAACACAGAAATATCTCTAGAAGTAGATGGTGATATCAACAGGTCAAGTATGAATGCCTATCAGGGCACTCCACCTGTGCCAAGATCCATGATCCACAACTGTCTTTTCAAACCAACTCAATGGGACCTGTGGCCCACAACCATGTGCAAAGGCTCATGATTGACCTGCCAACGCAGGCTAATAAACAATGGGACCATGGTCCTAGTATGTTGATTAAGGTTTCTCTTATAAGAGCAAGTCTTATGCACATATCATTATAGTGCATGGGTGACTCTCTCTATGCATATGTCAACTATCCTTCTATAGGATTGTTTCCCAAAAATGCAGTTGTCATATACACATATCGTACGGAAGTTTGATGAGGATTTGACCCTTGCTTTCATAGGTCTACATCCCCACACAGGAGGCCACAAAACTCTCCTATCCTAGAAACAATGTCCCTAGGCATCTCTCCAACCTCAACAAAGGGTGACCCTCCATAAGACCCTCAAGGATAGTGCTTATGCCTATGGAAAATGGTTTTGGATATGACCTGGGCCATAGACCGCTTTGGAAAATTCACTATCATTTATTATATTTACATGTTCTCAAGGCCGCCTTCAAAGGCCACATATCCCAACATTACAAAGGATCAGATTGGACGGTAAAATGTTACCATCAAATCAAAACTTTTTTTTTTTGATGCAAAAAATCACAGTTTTTCAGCATTGCTTTCAACTGTCTGTTATCATTGTGAAGGATAGTTGGATGGTTTAATTTGAATCTGTACTATCTTGTATTCTTGTGTACATTATTTTGTCACTTTTGGTATGGTTAATGGATATTGTTATTTCTATGACTGCTTTCTTTTTGTCATGATGTTGTTTGATTATGTTTTGATGGCAGTTTTACTTGTGTTAGGTTGAATATATTTTCCTTTTAGGGCATTCATGTGTCTGTTAAGTAGACATTTTACTAAATGTGGTGCCTAGCTTACTATTTTGACTTATATAAATCCTTGATTCTTAGGTTTTCAGATCAGATGAAGCTGAAAATATTGGATATGTGATTCCTACCACTGTTGTTTCTCATTTCTTGACTGACTACGAAAGAAATGGAAAGTACACCGGTAAGGTTTCTTTGAATTCAAATTTTGTGCTTAAATACGGGGTTATGCTCTCTTGACTTAAAACTTTATTGGACTGTATCTGTGCACTATGCATGTTGTGTGATAAATAAAATCCTTGCAAATCATGGATATTATTTTCTTGTTATATGATGTTTCTGGAATCTATATAATGGATCTTTGAATTAAATAAGCATGTATCTCCATATCAAACCTTTAAGCAAAAAAGAAGGCAAAAAAAAAAAAAAGTTATGGGGAATTTGAGATGAATTATTATTTTTTCTTATCCATAAACTAATAGCTTGCTCCGAGCTAGCATGTGCTATTGTCCTCCTTAAGAGTGTGATTGCTACAACACCTTAAGCAATCTGTCACCAAAGCACGCACAAATTGTTATGACCTTTCGGGAAATGAGTTATTCTTCCAATAAGCAACCTCTTTAAGCTTGTATTATGCATGCTGACAGAGTTCTGAGCTACTATTTACTGCTCCATGTCTAGAGGAAAATGGGTGATCTCCTTGTATCTAATCTATTCAAGTTGTCCCATCCTAATACATGGCTGAAATTAGAAAGAATATAAAATTTTGGGGATTTTGGCCCTTTAATTAATAAATTATTATGGTGCAGTTTCAAGGATAAACAAATAATTTTCCCAAATTAAGCAAGTTAAATTGAAGCTGAAGAAAAAGCAACTACTGAAAAGGTAAAAGAATTGCAATTTATATCACCTGTGGGCACATATTTGCCAAGTTAAGTATCCACTGATAATTTGGGCCACCAAAACACTTGCAAACCTCAATAAATGCTTCCAACCGAAACCAGGTTCTTTTGCTACCTTAAATTGTCAGCTGATTCCAATCAAACCTTTAAAAGGTCTAAAAGCTGAATTAAAAAACTTTTACTAGGCTGATCTCCTTGTATTAGGCTGACTCATAGTCATTAGATTGGATGAGCCTTATGTCGACTTTGATAAGCACAATTTGATAATACTCATGACCATGTACTTTAATTACATTTCTCTATTCATTTTCAAAGTGAATGCATTTATGTGATTGCTGACTCTAGAAATGCAAGTCAATGCTTCTTGTACTTTTTACATCTTGAAAACACTGAACCCTGACAATTCAAACATTGAAGATTGGTTTGAGATGGCTGACAATGGAACTGGTTAAATTCCTTTAGGATTTCCTTCCCTTGGTGTACTGCTTCAAAAATTGGAAAATCCGGCTTTACGTGCATGCCTAAAAGTGAATTCGAATGAGGTATGTCTTCTGCCTATAATCTCATGATTGTTCATTCACCTGGTGTAATGATTTTTTTGAATCTGTTAACTTTGTATTAAGTTAAAGAATTATACGGTATACAAAGAATGCTGCCCTCACTGGGACAGAGAGTGGCCGTAGATAGGTCTAGTCAAAAAATGTTGTACAAGCCAAAAATTACATCGCTTTTACAAGAAAGAGCAAAGCAAAAGTCTTCTATGATAGAGCTTGAGAAGCGCCCTCCTTAGCCAAAGCGTCGGCCACCTGATTGTCTTCCCGCCAGATATATCTCCATGAGACCTGAGTACTTGCAAATATCAAAAATCCCGTCAAAGATTTCTCTGAGTCTCCAGGGAGGAGTAGCCTGACGTGAGGTCCAGGACATGACATTTCTAGAGTCACCCTCCACAACCAAGACTGTGCTCCAAGATGAATCGAAGAGTTTGAGGCCTTCCAAGAGCACTTGGGCTTCTGCTGTGGTGGAGTTCGCAAAGCCGATAGGAGTTACCCCTAATGCTCGCCAGACCTAGGTTGCCGAGGGAGCAGCCATCGAAATTATGTTTGGTTTGCCAGGGATCCAGGGGCCTCCAAAGGGAAGAGTGGGGGATAGGTCTGGGGTTGTGGAATAGAATAGTGTGCCAGTTGAGTTGAAGGTCAGTGGACGAAATGAGCTTGAAATGGTTGTGATTGGTGGCCCAAAAATAATCATGAACTTGACTGCCTCATTGAGAGAGTGCTAGTGTGAGACCTGTCCTTGGAAAATTCTACGGTTGTGTTCTTTCCTAATGGTCCAAAGAGTTGCAGCCGCTGAAGCTTTCCAAAGAAGAGAGTTGGCCTTAGGCCAAGGGAGGAATTGCATTTGATGGAACAGTGATGATTCAGGTGTGACCCAAGACCACCCAAAAGATTGTAGCCAATCGTCCCATAGGTGGGTAGCGAAGGTGCAGTGGAGCAAAAGATGTGAACCCTATTCTTCTTCCTTGAGACAAATGGGACAGCGGTTGGGAATTTGCATGCCTCGTCATTGAAGTTGGTTGACTGCTAGAGCTCACACCGACAATGCGATCCAGTCAAAGACCTGGATTTTTGGTGGAATAAAAGGCATCCAAGCTCGGGGAAGATTGAAAGCATTGGGGAGGAAGCTAGAGCAGGGTTGATGAGCTTATGGTAGAAAGAACAAACAGAGAATGTACCTGTGGAGGCCGGGGACCAAAGAATACCATCATGGCCCCAAGAGGGAAGGAAGATAGAGTGGAGGATAGAGGAAAGTTCCAAAAAGGTGGGAAGCTCCTCTTCTTGGAGTTCCCCACGAAAGTCAGGATCCCAGGCCTAGGGATTTCCAGCAGGTGCAAAGAGGTCAGCGACTAGGGCACTGGGGTTTCTAGCTAAGCGGTGGAGGTTCGGGAAGCGAAGTTTCAAGGGAATGTCTCCTATCCAAACGTTATTGCAAAATCTGACTCTATTGCCCACCTAGGATGAAAGCGAATGAGGTTTTTTATGGGGTGAAGGCAATGTTCAAAAATTCGCCCGCCTAGGCGGAAAAATTTAAAAAACGCCTAGGCTCTAGTTAAGCGGGACTATTAGGCATCATGCATCTAAGCGCCCACCTAGTCGCTACAATCTAGGTGGCCGCCTAGGCGCTGCTTCGTGACAGTTTGTCAAATGGCAAAAAAAAATCCTCGGCATGGGTCTAAATTTGTCATTCCCCCCTCTAAAAAGGGGAGGGGAAAGGGTTTTGGGGGATATTCTAAACCCCCAAAACCAAGACAGTGCTTTTTAGAGAGAGAAAAACTCCCCAAAAACCTCTTTTTTGATCATTGAAAGATCGATAAATTTTCAATTTCTTCCTAAAACAAAGGTTGTGGGTGTTTTTGGAGCTTTTAGTAGTTAATTTTGAGGACTTCTGGCGACCCAATAGACAAGGTTTGCACCGACAACAATTTGATTTTGATATTTTTGAAGTACTATCATATTCGAATAAGGGTTTTGATTTGATTTTGCTATAACGTATTATGTTGTGAATCATTTGTATTTTCTTTTACTTTTTCTTTCTTCTACGATGTATTTACATGTTTGAAGTTGAAAGATTGAATTTTTTTGTGATTTATCGAATTTTTTCTCCTTTGGACGATGAAATTGGGCTTTCCTGAATAGTCATAAACTTTGGATGAAATTGATATTTTGTGAATATTTGATATCCAAAATCAAATCTTATGGATATTAATTAATAAATAATAATTATAATATAACTTTTATCTTAATTAATAGTCCACCCGCCCAGCCGCCTACGCAGTTAGGCCCCCCAAAACACTTAGTTGGGTGCCTACGCCATTTGAATATTGGGTGGAGGCAACAGAGAATGGATTTCCAGAACCCCGAGGACTGGTGAATAGCCCTCTAGGGAAGAAACCAGGGGGAGGAATGAAGATAATATTTGTGGCTAAGTACCCGGTGCCATAACAAGCCCTCTTGGGTGGCTAATCTCCACCACCATTTGCCTAATACGGTTGTTCTTTTGGAGGCTGCGGATTCCCAAACCACCTAAGGTTCAGGGCATACAAACCCTACACCATGAGACGAGGTGATACTTCTTGACTCCCTTATCACCAAACCATCGGAAGTTGCGCATCAATTGCTCGAGGCACTGGGCTACGGATGCAGGCATGTGAAACGACGACATTTGGTAGATAGGGATGTTGGAGAGGGTTGCCTTGATGAGAGTGACCCTGCTTGCTGTGGAACGGTATCTCCTCTTCCATGTGGCAAATTTATGGTCAAGTCTATCATGATGTGGCTTCATTGGCTCTTCTTTGGTTTTCCATGGCACAAGGATAACCCTAGGTAGGTGGAAGGTAGAGAATCAATCTGGCAGCCTCACTTGTCTTTAAAAGCCTGTGTGGTCTCAGGATCTAGGGCGATGCCAATCATCTTAGATTTGGTGAGATTAAGTCTGAAGACTGTGGCAAAATGGAAGCATTTGAGAAAGAGAAGCAGCATATCCACCTGTTGGACCGATGCATCACAAAAGATAATTGCGTTGTTGGCATATTGAAAGTGAGAAATGATGGGGCCGTTCCTTCCGATCTTGAAGCCCTCTAACAGGGCCTGTTAGTACATTCTTGTGATGGCCATGCTAAAGACTTTTGCTACTATGGCGAATAGGAAGGGGGTCCCCCTGCCGCAGAACCCTAGAAGACGGGAAAAAACCCTAAGGAGAGCCATTGATGAGGACCGAAAAATGGGGTTGAAGAATGCAATTACTTATCCACCTTCTTCAGCGATGTCCAAAGCCCATCTTGAGAGGGGTTTTGTCTAGGACGGCCCAGTCCATGTGGTCATAGGCCTTCTTCCCAGACCCACAATTTTGGGGGAGATCCTGGAATGAATGCACTCATGTCCCACTAAGGTGGAGCCTTGAGTTTGGATTTGGTGATAATGTTGTCCCTTCTTCTGCAGTTTGCAATTTTGTGGAAGAAGGCAGTGTTCAAGTCTCCACTGTTCAGCCATTTGACCCTCAACCTTTGAGCCCAGTGGATCTCCTCTTTCTTAAGGGTGTTGTGATAATTCAGTTTGAGTTGGCACTAGAGGGAAGATTCGTTGGAAGTAAGAGGTCAAGACTCCTCCACAAGGTCCAATTGGTGGATGGAACTGAGAAGTTGCTTCTTTTGGTTATGGAAATTACCCAGAAAATGATGACTCCAGCTTTTGAGGGAAAGTTTGAGTAGTTGTAGTTTTCTTTGGAGTCGGTAACTAGCCCATCCATGGACACTCAAGGAATAGGATGACCACCAAGATGGAAGAGGAGAAGAGAGGTTTGGTTCCTCGAGCCACGACATTTCAAAGTGGAAAGTTTTGGGGCCACCAAGGGCCGGAAGGGTGTCTAGGAGAAGAAGCTTGTGATTTGAGATATTTGAGGAGATCGAGAGTGTGTACTTGGAAAGGAGTCCCAATCAGGGCTACAAAGAAAACGGTCTAGTTTGGAGAAAGAGGGAAACAAGGAGTGGTTAGACCAAGTAAACACCGCCCCTTAGAGGGGGATGTCGATGAGTTCTTGTTGAGTGATGAAATTGGAAAAAGCAAGCATAGCAGGAGAAACTCTGGAAGAACTTCTCTTGAAGGACCATCTCATGACATTGTAAGTTCCCTCCGATGCATCATCTGGTCGGGGGTCGAGAGACAATGTCATGAAGCTCATCCCACAACTGGGCCCTATTACTGTTTCAGTTGGGGGCCCGTAAATGGCCGAAAATTTCCAAGGCAGGCCATCTGTGATTCTGGAGAGAGACACAGTGGCAGAGTAGGAAGCTACAAAGGAGAAGGTGTGAGCATGGGAGAAGGGGTCCCAATGACCTCGATACCTACGAATGCCCCTCTGGCTTCTAAAGCCACCCATTCATAGGGCCTACACCCCCAAACCTAACGAACTTGCTGCAAATAGGGAGAAGACAATTTGGTTTCAATGAGAGCAAGGATGGGGGGAGAGAACTTGGTGCAAAAGGGTCGCACTGAGTTGCACATCTAGGGAGTGTTAAGCCTACGAATGTTCCACACCTGGAGCTTCACATGTCAATATTTCGGTTGGGGGCGTCTAAACGAGCGTCTAGGAATGTTGCTGCCAGGGGCAAACACTGGAGAAGATGGAGCACAGGAAGGACAAGGAGGTCCTAGGTCATAGTTGACCTCGAAAGCTAGGTTTTTGAGAGCACGAGAACCTCTCCTGCATACTTTAAATCTGCTCTGAGCGTCGGACTTGAAAAAGGCCTCCACATCTTCCTTTGAACCATCAAATTTGAAACTAATAACCTTCATAACCTTGTTGATATCCCCTTGTGTTTTGTCCATTCTGAGACAAAACTTGAGCCAATAGATGGAGTAGAAGAGTGGCTGGGAGAAGAGGGGGACGACCTATTGTTGGGACTCACCGGAGGGGAGAGGGGAGTGTTTTAGGGAGAAATATTTCCATCCAGCGCCACTGCTGTGGCGAAATTCAAGGAAAGGCGGAGCCCAGGGAAAGAAGGGGGAAGCACAACGAACGAGGGAGTGAAGGGAGAAGAGATAGGAAGTGAGTGGGCAGCTGGGGATAGAAAGATCTGAAGAGGACAAAGGTTAGGGAGTGATCAAAGTTTGGCGGAGAGAGCTCAGGGTGGGGATGGGTCCTAGAGGAGGTGGAGAGAAGAAATTATGGTTCAAAGAAGAGAATGAGGCGGGGGTTGGGGATTGAGGGGGAAGGGGGTTGAAGGCAAAGAAGTTGAGTGGTGGATAGAAGGGATGGGGGTGGGGGGGAGCATGGAGGGGATAGGCTGACTAAGGGAAGGCAAGGCATGGAAGAGGGTATGGAAAGGCAGAGGGGAGGGGGAAAAAAAGGGGTTGCCGAGCATCGGTGAAGAGATGTGGGGTAGGGCCACTCCAGAATGTAAGGGAGGACCTCGACACCGGAGAGGCGAGAAGAGTTGGGGGAGAGAGATGGGGGTGTCTAGAAGGTGCGGTTGCGGCAGGTCATAAGAGGAGGGGGTCGACGGAGGAATAGTGGCGGGATGGTGGGGAAGAGGGATGAGAGAAGAGGTGGTTGGGCATTGCGATGTGGAAGGGTGGGGTTCTTCCCAAGGCAGGTGAGGGGGAGGAGAGGAAGAGGCAGGCGCAAAGGAGGAAAGGGGAGGTTTCAGGTTGAAGGGTTCGTAGGAGATGGGGGTGGGGGTGGGGGTGGGGGTGGTAGATGAGATGACCCTGGTTGTTGAGCCATGCAAGGAGGAAAGACTATGAGGGGTATCAGGAAGAGGAGCTTCCGGGAGAGGAAGCAATGGTGTGGAGGCTGGGCGGGAAGAGAGGCAGTGAGTTTGAAATGCCATGTGGGGAGGTACCAGCTGATGGAGGGAGAAATGATTGCTTCTGGCCAAGTCAACTCACAGGATAAAAAGGGGGAAGGTGTATGGGTTGCTCATTGATAAGTGATGGCCATGATGATGAAGGATGGGGATTGAGTGGGAGGGGAGGGCGAATTAAAGGGCGATGGAGGTGGGGGGATGGAGGAGGGGGGGGGGGGTAGAAGAGGAAGGGTACACATGGAGGTAAGAGGTGGACGGAGGGAGAAGGAGTGAAGGGGGAAGGTCGGGGGGTTGTAGGTGGGCTGGAGTGTGAAGAGGACACATGTATGAGGGGGAAAAGAGAGGGAGTCATGTGGCCACTGGATGAAGGCTGAGGAGGCAGGGGGACTAATTAATGGAGTGGAAGAGGGTGCTGCGTCAGGAGCAATGACGTCAGCCAAGGAGGAAGCCTCGGGGCGCGGAATAGGAGCGTCGGCGTAGGTGTGGATTATGGATCCATTCGTTGTCAGGACGGTTGCCCCTAGGGACCAAGAACCTAAGGTGGTCCCTAAGATGAAGCGGATTATGGTTTGCCTTGCTTTCTGAGGACTGTACCTGGTGTAATGATGATATGCAGTTTCAGTTTGTGGATTTTTATGATGCCAATCATTTCGAGTTTATTTATCGGATGAATAAAATAAGAGTTAATAAATGGTGATAAGTACTTGTAAAAACACCATCAATTGGGCCAATAGAGTCTCTACCAGCCTAGACTTGACCAGATTTTTGAAGAGTGGCATTCAACAAGTGCCTCTCTCAAAGTTGCATTTCATCCTATTTGGTGAGAGCACACAATGTTTTATAAACGGTCCGCCCGGCTCCTAGGCGCTGTCCTAGGTGGCCTGGACCAAAATACCACATGCCCAAACCCAGGCGGCCCTACATGGGCGGATGTACTTGGGCGGACGCCCAGGCGGGCTAGGCGGGTGCCTAGGAGGGCACCTAAGGATGTGGCTTTTTTTTTATATTTTTTTCTCATTTTTATTTTTATAAATAAAAAAATACCCAAAAAGGAAATGGGGTAATTTTGAGGTTTAAATTGGTATGGGGGTTATTTTCAACCCCCAAAGTTAAAAAGAAAATTCCTCAAACTCTCAATCTCTTAGCTATACCTGATTTTTGAGAATCAAAAGTATTTTTTGTTGTTTGAAGAACCTTCCTAAGCTTTTTCATTTATTATGAAATATGGAGAGTTGGAGATTATTACTAATACATATCCTATTAGACTTTTAAATTTTGTATGGTTTGAATTTTGATAGTTTGAACAAATTTATTCTCAACATGCGATATGTCATATTTTTGTACATAAAAAAATATGTTACAATATTTTCAAATGTAATAAATTCTAAAATTGACACAAATATATGCATATATACTACATATCTACATAATTCGTACAACAGGGTGCCTAAGGTTCTGGGCACTGGGAGCCAGGCCGGCTGCATAGGGGCAGGCTAGTGTTGTTTGAAACCTTGATACCGCGGTTAATTCATGATATAATGAAACAAGGTGCTCTCAATGCATCTCTAATGCTCAACCCACCTTAAAGTGTGAGCCACCTGCTATTTTTCTTCCTTTCTGACTGCCTTTGTCATTTTGCAAGGCCAAGCAGCCTCTTTTGGTTTTGGGAATGACTTTCCCAATTTTTGTGTTCACTATATAGTATAGTGCAATTTATATATGTAACTCTTATTTACCTATCTGACCTTCACTCAAAATATAAAATTTCAATTTTGGGATTACACAAAGAATGATTTTGAGAACAAATGGGTGGAAATTGTGCATGGCATTGCTAGAGAGAAGGAAAGTCTAGTAACTGGCTGCTGCATCCCAATGGGTCAGTTAAGCTTGATTTTGATGGAAGTTCGGATGGTAAACCTGGGGATGCCTGTGTTAGAGGGGTAGTGAGAGATGGAAAGGGAAGAACCTTGCTAATTAATCCGTTTCTTTCTGTCATTGCAATTCAATAGAGGCTATGGCTTGAGCCTGATTATTGGGTCTTAGAAATTTAAGCCCTGAGTGGAGTAGAGTCATTTGTGAATGGTATTTTACCTCTGTGGTTCCTTGGGAAACTGGAAAGGACAAATGCCGTTGGAGACCGATTAACGTACATGAAGAAATTGCTGATATTTGAAGAATAGTGGAGATATAGAGTTTTGACATACTTGGATGGAGTCTAATGAATTGGCTTACTCTTTGGCCAAAGCAAGAGTTTCAAAGGTCCCTATCTCAATAACCAATTTTGTTCATAACATTGTTTCAAAAAGTGGACCGCCCAGTGCCTAGGCGGTCGCCTAGGTAGATATCCCTGGGCGCCCGCCTGAACCCGCCTAGGTGGCCGCCCAGGGCCTGCACTTCACCCAGGGGCAGAAATGTGGCTCCTTGAGGGTATTTTTGGATCATTTTTTATTATTAAAGGCGCATTTAGGTTCATTTGAAACCTAAAACCCATTAGAGGCTATTTTAGAGAGAGAGAACCCCAAAAAAAAAAAAATATTGGGCAGCCCAAAAAAACCCATTAGAGGCTATTTTAGAGAGAGAGAACCCCAAAAAAAAAAAAATATTGGGCAGCCTAAGTTTTGGGTGCTCGCCTAGGCGTTGGGCGACCTGGACCTCCCCGACTGCCTAGGTGCCGCCTAGCGCTTTTTGAAACATTGGTTGTTTGTGATCAGCATTGTTGACAGACACATAAAATACAGATTGTAGATTGAGATGAGTGGTATACTCATTATAGATTTGGGGTGATGTCAATCTAGTGCACAAATAGCTTTCTGGTCTGAATTCGGTGAAGATATTTTTGAGTATATATGACACAATTGTAAAATTTTCTGAATCAATGAAATTTAGTTGACATAAAAAAAATTCTGAAAACTTTAATTTTACGATTTAGATGTACTTTTTTGCTTTTTAAACATTTCTGCTGCTTTGTCTAATTGGACTAGACTGCATCCTTTTCCAATTTGCTTAGTAGTTGAGTCTTGATAATATTGCTCAGGTTTTAATTACTGCTTTCTATCCTTCATTAATAGCAAATCTATTGCAAATGAACATTTTACTTTCTTATTACTTTTAGTAGTAAATCTATTGCCAATGAACATTTTAGTAGTAAATCTATTGCAAATGAACATTTTAGTAGTAAATCTATTGCAAATGAACATTTTACTTTCTTATTACTTTTAGTAGTTACTGCTATTTGAATGTTGCAATTTCATTCTTAGTTTTAATCTCGAACATGCACTCAGGGTGTACTAGTACGTAGAATTGAACCAACTGCTGCTGCACATGATGCCTTAAAGGAGGTATGTGAATCTTCATTTTTGAAATTGAACTTTTCAAGTTATTGATAAGAGGGCAAAAGATTGTGGTAGTTCAAAGTTATCTTGGTACCAGCTATATTTCTTATCATCAATACTGAGACAGCTATTAAATACTTTGGTCCAGATCCTTGGGATGCCATGGTCTCACTCTTATCATGAAAAATTATTTAGATTGGAATTTAATTAGAAATTTGAGAAATTGATACAGTTTTGAATGTGCCATTGCTTAGGGGGATGTAATTGTAAGTTTTGATGGCATACCAGTAGGATGTGAAGGAACTGTCCCATTTCGTTCCACTGAGCGTATTGCTTTCCGATACCTCATCAGTCAAAAGTAAGGCCTCTTTCACCATCAGTCATGTTAGGTGGATCACTTTAGAAGTTAAACATAAACCATCTATTCAAAAGGTTCAGTTTTTCCTAAGTAGCATTTTGTGCTTTCTATGGATCTTGAACAAAAAATCAAATGTAATCTCAGGTTTGCAGGCGATACAGCGGAGCTTGGAATCATTCGAGGAGGGGCTCATATGAAAGTCAAAACTCTTCTGTATCCGCGTGTGCATCTTGTATGTACTTGAAGAGTTTGTTCCACTTTTTTGTTGTTGGCAACTAGCTATATTAAAAGTGTGTCAGTGTACAAAAAGAAGTCAAGAGAAGAGGCAAAATAACTTCTCAAAAGTAGCATTGTGGTAACCAATGCTGTAGAGGAACCGAATCTATTTCTTCATGATGTGGGTTTTTCTTTAATTGATTATGAAACCTCAACTTGCATTAACATATATATCTCCCAAAAAAAAACTTGTATTAACATGTTTCTTCTACCTCCCATCTTTACGTTTCTTCCATTTTAAGGTCCCATATCACATTGAAGGAGGACAACCTTCGTACCTCATAATTGCTGGTTTGGTGTTCACTCCCCTTTCGGAACCTCTCATTGAGTAAGTTCACTTGTCACTGGTTGAGTACGTTTTTCTGTATTTTTGCAATTCCCTGTTATTTCATGTGTAAGGCACATCCATTATGAAAGAAAATATAAGAACCTGGTAGCCATTGTCTTAATTTTTTTCCTTCGGTTAAACTGCAGCGAAGAGTGTGAGGACTCAATGGGGGTATGTTTTGGCTCATAGCATCGTTGTTTTGTTTTATTAAACTATGGATTTCTATTTATTGGAGTTTATTTTTTGCACAATTGCTTAGGTTGACTTATTTAGTGCATTTGTTTTTCATTCTATCAGCTTAAGTTGCTAGCAAAAGCACGGTACTCATTAGCGAAGTTCAAAGGAGAACAAATTGTTCTATTATCTCAGGTTAGCAATCACCTTTCCTAGTGGAGTTAGGAAATTGTTCTCTTTTTCCCCCCCATGTCATTTAGCCTCTATACAATTGAGCATGCTGCTCAATTTTATATTTAGAAAGACATTAATGGTCCTCGCAACTGACAGACTTGAAAGTGGTCCTCAAAATGGTAGCTTGGAAATGCTGCAAACGTCAAGCTTCTTTTTTACAATTAATTAAAAAAACCTTTAGCTTCTTTTCAAAATACACCTAGAAATTAATGAATCTTAATGATGGTTATAGGCTGTTATTTATTGTTTGTTTGGCAACTCCCAAAGATCATCTTTGCAATGATATCTAGTTAGCTAGTTTATATAGTTGTGTGTCCAAGGAACTAGTGATGTGATGTATGACAGGGTATATTTATTCACCACCTAGAAATTAATGAATCTTAATGACGGTTATAGGATGTTATTTATTGTTTTGTTTGGCGACTCCCAAAGATCGTCTTTGCAATGATATCTAGTTAGCAGGGTTATATAGTTGTTGTGTTTCCAAGGAACTAGTGATGTGATGTATGACGGGGTGTATTCATGAATAATTCATTTTGTAGTATGTAACCATAAAAATGTGAATTTACCGTTAATTTTTTTTATTTCATCCTTCTTATGACTGCTAACATGATCCACTGATATATGGGGGTGCTACAAGTTTGTCATTATGAAGTTGTAATTTGAAGACGCATCATATACTAGAAAAACTGCTTGGCACTACATATCAACTTGTATGTATCATGTTGACTGTGTGTGTGTGGTGGTGGTGTGTGTGTGTGTGTGTGTGTGTGTGTGTGTGTGAGAGAGAGAGAGAGAGAGAGAGAGAGAGAGTACGTCCTCTACGTCGGTACGGTTTACGTTTCTTACTAACTGTTAGGAGGTAGGTTGTAACGGAACAATCATCACTACGTTGTTGTAGTTGGAGTAGTTAGTAACGAA